TTACAGAGAAGCAACGACCATCCTGTCCTGGCTAAGACTCTCCAGACAGTGACAGCACAATGGGCAGAAGCAGGCTCCCTGGCTGACTACGGGAAGCAGAGATGTACCACACACAAGGACTGCTTACCTCTTGGCTATTAAATGAGGGAAATCTAGTTTTATCTTATTAAAGCTTTACTTTGAGGCCTCTTTGCTATGACACTCAGCTTGAATCTTAACAAATGAGAGTGTTCTTAATAAGATCCTTCAGTACAGAGGAGCGAGTTCATCTGGGCTCAGATCCAGGCACTGTTCCTCCATAACTGTGACTTTAGCCAAGTGATTGAACTTTTGTTTCTGAATCTGTAGAATGGGGCTAATGGCAGGACCTGCAGTGAGAACTGAAGGAGGCAGATGGTACACAATGAAGCTCACCATTGTGATTATCACCTTATCTATCAGCATATTTCCCTGCCAGGGGAGACCAGCTGCCCACCGCATGCAGGTCACTCATTTTGATCCAGATATTGGTCCTTTCCCTTTGTGGTTACCTAAGTCTTCCTGAACAACTGACCCTGAGGTCCTCATATCTGTTTCCATGCAAAATCCTCAGCCAGCTCAGTAAGGAAAAAACACCCACTGGCCTGTCTCCATGTCACCCCTTGAGATTTATCTCCCTCAGCTGCGAGGTGGGGGAGTCCCCTAGGGCTGCTTGGCCTGGGACTGAGAAGAGGGCAGGAAGGAAGGAGAGCAGCATGAGCAGCCAGGGTCTAAAGGCAGCTGATTTAACTCCCCCTGTGAGGTGTGCAGAGGCGGTAGCACTGGAGGTGCAGTCTTAGGAAGGGGATTATGGTTGACAAAGTCAGTACTGTGGAACTCCCAGAACTAGATCTGGTGGATTCTCAGGAACAGCGAGGCTGGAAGACACAAACACACATGTAGTCCCTGTCCCTGACATGGAATGTGCTGCTTAGGGCTCCGCCTATACTAGACAAGGCCCTGCACCCGGGGTCAGGTTTTCTAGCCAAAACAAACTTTTTAAAAAAATAATTCATCCATTGTGTTTTACTGTATTATTAGCAACAGAAGACCAATGAAGATGGTTACTAATTTTAAAAGGACAACGTTTCAGAGCAGAATTGAGAGGTTTATATGGTTCTTTTTTTTTTTTTTTTTTTTTTTTTTTTTTATCTTTTTGAGACAGGGTCTCACTATGCAGTCAGGCTGGCCTTGAACTCACTTTGTAGCCAGGCTGGTTTCTAATTCGCAACGATCCTCTCACCTCAGCCTCCCGAGTGCTGGGATTACCACCCAGCACCACCATGCCCGGCTGAGGTTTACATGATTCCTATAGCATTTATTTCCTTTAAAAAAAGCGCACATGAGGTATGCATGCACGTATGAAGTGTGTGTGTGTGATCCCAGGGCCTTTTAGATAGGGCCTCATTAAGTTGGCTGGCCTTGAACTTGCAATCCTCCTACCTCAGTCTCCCCAGTAGCTGGGTTTCCAGGTGTGTCCCACTGCACCCATATACCAAGTATCTTAAGCATATATTCATGATATACCTATTTCATTTGTATATTAACAGATTTCATTACATAATACCTACATGTACATACTTAAATATGTTTTCTTTCTAGAGAAGATGAGGCCTCATGAAAGCAGCCAGAAGGCTGCTGCAGTTACAGTCACACCCAACAGGAATAAAGAGGAGGATCTATGCCCGGATCCCTAAGACCTCAGTTCTCAGTTCCTCCCTTAGTCAGTAGACAAGGGACTGGTTAGGCTCTGCAATGTGTCTGAGTTACACAAAGTCCCTCTCCTTACACAGGAGCTGCAGAATTAGCAAATGAGTGCCTGTCAGGCTGTGTTTAGCACAGTGCAAACACAGGTCAGGGGCACGCAGGGACATTCTACCCCACCCCTCACAACACAGGACTGCCCCTCAGTACCAGAGTCCCTGGTACTGGGCTTTAAGAATTTCAGAGATTCCACAGGTACCCAGTTAGAATAAATAGAAGGAGCAAGCTCTGGTGTTCTGGTACAGGGGATGAACAGGAACGCACGGTATGCTTCTAAAAAGCTAGTAAAGACAATTCTGAATGTTTCGCCACAAAGAAATTGTAAGTATTTGAGGACACAGTAATCCCTCCGTTCCCAAATGCTTCTGTTTATAAATGACTCAGTTCACGAACAGAAGCATTTGGCAAAATTTTGTTTCCATTCTCTAACTCTACATCGGGTGATGAACAGGACTTTGGCCATTTGCCTCGGAGTCATAGCACGAATTAAGTTTGTGAACTGAGTTACCACTGTTTATCCTGATTTGAACATTACTGAAACATCACATGGAATCCCATAAACAGGTACAATTTTAATATGTCAGTTAAAAAAGCAAAACATAAAATGTAAAAAATTTAGAAAATTTAAGGTAACAACAAAAAGTTTAACAAGAACTAGGTGTGGTGGTGCAAGCCTATAATCCCAGCATTTTGGGAGGCTGAGGCAGGAGGATTACAAACTCAGACAACAGGAAACAGGGAGATAGATCTTTCTCAAATGGGAGGAGGATCAAGAGATTGAGGGAGAGGTGACAAAAGGAATAGGAATGTGCTGTGTATCACCAACTCTCCACAGTAAATTTAAATAGCATGTACTGCAAATGTGCAGTAGTAATAAAGATAAAGAATGGTTTGGGCAGAGCAAACTCCCCTCCCTCAGGGTAATATCTAGTTACTGCCAATAAAACAGAGCAGGCAGGAGCAGCCCCACAGTCCTGGTGCCCAAAATACTAGATAATGAGCAAAGCTGACATCCTGGGCTCCCTAATTAAGCTTAATTGCCCTCGAGTCTCCCCTTCCTCCTGCAATCTCCTAGAGGTGCAGAAGATATGTAGTTCCAGGCAAGTGAGATGGATAACCACCTTCTACAAACTAGGTTAGAAACTTATGTGGAAACAATGACTCTGCCAGCACAGATAGCTCCTGCCTCCAATGAACTTCCTGCGCTTTGGAGGCTGCCACCTCCAGCAGTGATTTGTTTTTCCCGGAACAGCAGCTCTGGACCGTAAGGGGCGGGGAACTGAAGGCTCTTCATCAGCATGCAGAATCTCTCCAGGGCTGAAGAGGTTCCTCAGCAAAAGGGCACCTCAGGGCGTGTCGGATCAATATCTGGAACTAGCCTTCTGGGAAATCACTAATGGTCTGTGGATGGTGTGACTGGTAGTCTGGTCCATTAATAAAGAGCTTCAGAGCTGGCCCAAGATTGTGGAAAAGGACGGCCTAGGACCAGATGTTGGTGGACTGCCCCAGCCTCCAAGAGAGAGCAGGAGCCCTCAGTGCCAAGCTGAGGGTCTTTGTTTGCTGTGCTGGGGAGGACATGAGTGCCTGCCTCTTGGCTACCTGAAGCCACAGAGAAGGGTGATCTGGTCCACAGCTGTCTCCTAAGTTCTCCTAGGCACCAGCCAATCTCACAGCCAACTGCAGGTGGTACACATGCCATCTGGGATACCTTCTTATGCAGTAGGCTCTGTGGGCAAAGATACGGCAGCTCCCATACTGCTTCTGAGGAGCATGTGTCTATTAGCAGGGCAGAAGGCACGTCTGAAGAGAGTTAGAAGGATGGTTAGAAAGCTCGCTGTATTTCCTAGCTGTGTGATGAAGAACTCTGCTGTACAGAACAGGGGGTCTCTTGGCTGTAAGATGTGCTTAGCTGCTCTCACTCAGGATATGTTAACAGGGTTTGGTGTCACCGAATCAAATGACATCAAAGCACACCAGAAGAATGTCATGTAATCCCTGGTTCATCCCATGCCAATTCTTGGGTACATAAGAGAGCCTCGGCTCAGGACTGATCTGCCTCACATGCCTGTCCTCCCTTCCAGCGCCAAGAGATCGCAGGCGTGGGGCTTTCTGGCAAGTTCCTGTATGAGCTGGAATCCAGAACTGTAGTCTTGTTTCTTGTGTTCACCTTCTATTTACAGTGTATGATGGAACACTGGTGTCTGGTGTCATATGGTAGGATAAACTCTCTTCTTAAAATAGATTGAAAGTAAAAAAAAAAAAGTGAGTGATTTTAAAAAAAAACAAAACTAAGGAGAAACAATCCGAGATAAAAGAGCTGCAGGAAAACATGCTAAAGGTGGAAGGTGAGAGACAGAACCTGGGACTGTGTGACAGGAACAACTAGGAGGAGGCCAGGGTAAGTTGGTCTTGGAGAAGGAGCCAGAGCCCTGCTGCACCAGACAGCGCGGTGGACAGTCCCCACCCCAGCTCCCAGTCTGTCACCAGCCAGCAGGTGCCTGTCATCCCCATGCAAAGCTGTCCTGGCCACCCAACCACCAGCAGATCACCTCTGCACACTTATCCCCGGTATCATAATCACTCTCTCACTGCTGACTTCCTGAGGACACCTCCCCAGCTCCTGCCACTGCTACCTGTATCTCTGACAGGGAAAGAGGGAGCCAAGTCCTCTGTGCCTCAGTTTCCCCACGGTGCAGCCAAGGATTGAGTGTACTCATCTGGGGGGTACTTTATGACCTCTCAAAGTATATTACAGCCATGGTCCCAGAATGGCCAGGGGTTCTATCTTTCCTACCATAATTTCCTGGCCTTTGTTCACACACACACACACACACACACACACACACACACACACACCCCTGGTTTTATTGCAACAGTGTAGTAAAATACTCTACAATGAGTGTGGGGTGGGAAGAGCCTGTTCTAGTAGGGAGATGTGGTAACTGTTGGGCCAGGCCAGCTATCCTGGGAAGCAGCGCAGGTTCCTGGGGGCCTGTGGGCACCACAGCCCAGCAGGTCACCCCAGCCCTGGGGAACAAAGGACAAAGCATCCAACACAGACTGCAGAGGAGGCCCCTAGCCCAAGAGGACCTTGGGAAGGACAAGTCTGACACACAGGGATGGCACGGGTTCTGTGTAAAGGCTCTGCTTAAAAAAAGACAGCTGCGGCACTATTTTGGACCAGAACATACCAGGAACAGCAGGTAGAGCAGCTCAAACGCGAGTCTCTCTGGGCAGAGGAGCAGGCCCCAGCTTCCTATAGGAGTGTGCTGGCTTCATCTTATGTAACATCGCAGTGTTTTTTCTCTTTTTCCTGGAAGGAGAACAGCAAGAACTCCCCAAGGCTGCAGATGGCTCCAAGTTCTTCTGGGTGGTGAAATGCCAAGCGGATGGCAACGACTGATCAGGAATTTATTGGGACTTAGGAGAGGTGAGCGCAGCACAGCAATGTGTTTGGGAAAATGGCCACCATCTTATGGATATAATGAGGCCACAGAGCTCTGTGGATGACCGTGTGGGCGGCTGCAGCAACACTGGCATAATCAGAGCTGTGCTGGGGTTTCCATGTGTGAAGGTGGGAAGAGCATGAACTGTGGTTCCCATCACAGACCTTGCTGCTCCTATACATAGGACCCTAGGCATGGAACCTTCCCAAGCCTCAGTCTTCTCATCTGCAATATGGGTTGTCATGTTTACCGCCCAGGGGCTATTGGGTTAACTCAGCTCTGTGAGCACAACTGGGTTTATGCATGTTTCTGTAAATGTTCCCTAGGCATAGTTGGGTGCTGAGCATAAGGATAACTTTTAAAGCAAACAGATTTGGGCTCAAGTCCTAACCCTGCCATTCATGAGCATGTGGCTGTCTAAGACTCAATTTCTACAGCAATCAAAGAGCAAGAATGATGCTAACCACTCACGGGTGCTGTGAGGTGCAGGCAGGTAAGGCAAAGAGGCATCCAGTAACATGCCAGACACAGGCTTGGGCCCTCCTCAGATCAGCTGCTTTCCCTATTCAAGGCTGATCTAGGCTTAAATAGAAATTCTTACAAACCAATCATAACATACATCTGACCTATGATAGAAAACTATGGTGAATATGTATATTTTAAAAAATTACAGTAAAAGACACATTGCCATTAATCACCCTTCAAAACCCACCCCCTCATTTTCAACACACTTCTCCCATCATGCCTGCCACTTTCTAAAGCAGTCCTAGCATGTACTCTTGTGGCTTGCTGCCTGCCTTTCTCCTCACACGCTGAGGAGCCTTGGAAGGCAGCGACTCTGAGGCCTTAAAGGTTTCTGTCTTTCACTGCCCTGTACAAAGCCTGTCATAGAGCTGGTGCACAGGAAATAGTTGTTGAATTAAACGAATGAATGGTTGGGTGGGTGGGTGAATTAAAAGTCGAATAGATGGATGAAACATGGATGAATGGGGTAAGAGATGCAAGGACAGATGGATGGTTGGCTGGCTGGGTAAGATAAGTAAAAATGGACAAGGAGATGGGCAGATTAAAAAATAGATGGATGGATGCACAGATAGACAGTGGATATTTGGATGGGTTAGAGTGAGGGAGTAAGTAGATGGATGGAGAGTGAATGGCTAGATGGTTAGTTACAGTTATGTATATTGTTTGTTTCTTGCAGATTCTGCAGGAAATCCAGGCCTGTTTTACTTGGGGTCTAGAAGCTGGGAACCTGCTAACACCCAGCCCCATCTTTCCTCAAGGAGTCCCTGAGTCCTTTTGCTAAGAGCTACAGAAAGGGGTGCTGTAGAGGAGACAATCCTGGAGCAAGCACCTCCCATGGTCCCTGTTATGCAGCTAAGACCACCCAAGTAAGGAAGGGAAGGGGAGCCCAGGACAGCTGCTGACCCTCAGGAGCCATGCTCTGACGGCCCCCACTGTTCCGCTGTGACACTTCTCTCCTGCTGCCCTCTCTGCCTTCACATGAATTTCATGTACTTGTGATAGGCCTCCACCGCGAGGGTCGCTGCTCCTGCCCCTGCATTAACTTCCACATCTTCCCACCAAAAGCATCGTAGAGGTCACCCACTGCCCAGTTTCAAGTCCACACAGGCACACAAGGCCATTTCCAGCTCATTGCCTGTGCTCTGAGCATGTTTCAATCCCTACCAGGCTCTAGGTGCTGTTTAATCTTCATTCCTAGAACACACTCTCTTTTTGTTCAACTCATCAGATTTCAAGAGTTGGCTCAGGTATAAATTCCCTAAACTGGTCCCTTTGGAAAATGTTGGACATATAGAAAAGTTAGAACAGTAAGATGAAAATTACTCGTCACAACTCCACAATTTAGAGGTGACTACGATTCACATTTCCAGTGTTTCCCTCCCAACTCTATTTTTAATATAATTGACATCACAGAACCCTTAGATCTGCTTCTCCCAGTACAATATGTACAGAGGGCTGAGACAGCCAGCCAGTGTTCTTCCCAATCACAGTGGAAAAGCACCCAGTAGGAATGATGTCAGGTGTGAGGTTTCTGTAGCTGTTTTATCAGGCTAAGGGAGGTGCCTTGTATCAGAAAGGAAGCTTCCTGAGTGTTCTTAACCAAGAAAATGTATTAGATTTTGTCCAATACTTTTTTTTTTGCATCTATCAAGAGGGCTGCATGGTTTTGTATCTTATGTTACTCAGCTGGACAACTGCACTCATGTATTTTCACATATTAAACCACCCTTGCATTCCTAGGACAAATCTCACATGGTCACGGTGTGAAGTTTGTTAATGTTTCTGAATCCATAGTTTTTTAGTATTTTTCATGTGTTTAATAGTATTTTATATTCATGAGCAATACTGAATCATAGTTTTGTTTTCTTGTGAGATCTGTTTTGTTTTAGGCATCCAAAATACTGGTTACTTACAATGGCTTAGGAAGTATTCCTTCTTTTTGGAGGGAAAGAATTTATGTTCATTCTTTGTAAAATGTTTGGGAGTTTTCAACCGTGAAGCTACGTGGGTCTGGGCTTTGCTTTGTGGGTAGTTTTTTGGGGTTTTTTTTGCTTACTAATTCAATGTTATTACTTGCTCATAGTTTTCCTTTAAAATCCTCTGTATCTCTGAAAAATTGTTAATAATATCCCTCTTTCATTCCTGATTCTAGTAATTTGAGTCTTTTTCTGTCTTGATCAATCTAGCTTTAGCTAGGTCTGTTGATTTTGTTAACCCTGGTCAACCAACTTTTGGATTTATTTTCTCTCACTTTTCTGTTTTCTATTTGATTAGTTGTGGCTCTTATATTACTATTTTTTTCCCTCTGCTTGCTTTAATTTTAATTTGCTCTTCCTTTTCAAGTAACGTAAAATGCATTTTTAAGGGGAATTTTATGAAATGAATCTCTGGTTGATTGATTCTATAAGTGATGAGAAGAGAGAGGGAGGTCTCTTGCCTCCAGAGACACAGTAATTAATACATACACAGGGGCAGCAGTTTGACACTCCCTTTCAGGATGGTTTCTGCCTCTACTCTGGTCTAAAAACTCCATGAAAACTGGGTATTTTTCCCTCCATGTGCCAGCGGAGGGTGGGGGGGGGCCTGTCAGCCAGGGAGAACCGGCAAGGAAGCTACCTCCGCCCCCTGCCGCCCCAAGCAACCTGATGTGACACAGGTTGCATTGATAATAACTGAAGGAAGGAAGCAACCTGACATTTGTGTTGTCTGTGCAAGCTTCGGGCCAGTAGTCTGAGCAACTACTTAGAGGACAACAATATGCAAAACAGTAACGACTGGATTTCCTACTGTTCTATCATTGTTTTGTTTTATTTTGTTTTGTTTCATTTTACTGTTATTTTATTCTCTTTCAAAAAAACAAACAAAAAACAACTGGGCTTTTTCTCCTGCTCCAGAGTCTACCCACCCTATTTAAAAAGTGGCCTCAACCTCTAACATGACCATAGCCACCAAGGAGAGCACTTCCAGATTCATGATGATTCTCTCCACTGTGGCAGAGGATATTACCTACATTTAGGGCTCAAAAGACCACAAGGCGCAGATTCAAGAAGTGACACCACAAGACCTTGACCTGGTTTCCCTCTCAATACTTCTTTGCTCTGCTTTCTTGAGGCAGAGGCTCTGTATCTTCAGCCAGGCTTTCCCCTATGATCCCAAGGTGACCACCCGGAGTTCATACTTGTAGAGTCTCTGCCATATGTGACAGAGGAAAGGGTGCTGAGAACACTGCCCTAGCCAGCTCAGGTCCCATCTCCCGCTGCTCTCCAACATCTCCAGTGCCTTTACTTAGGTGACACATGCTCATAGTGCCTGTCCTCCTCCCCACACATGTTCCTACATGTCTGCACTGGCCCTGCTGAGACTATACCTGCATCCCAAATCTCCTGACCTGTCTCCTCCATTTTTTTGGACACCTCTGGCTGGGAAAATCGGAATGCAAGTGGCGGAAAAGATGCACAGACATTGATTTGTCTCACACGAACCCAAGCCTCTTTTGCAAGGAGACCCAGTGTGGATTCAACGGTCCCATCAGGACCTTAGCCTTTTTTTTCTATGTAAGGTGGGTTCTACACTGTGAGCATCTGACCCCATTTCCAACTACAAAGTGAGGGAAATGGGGAGAATAGGGAGAGAGAGATCTCCTTAGCATCTTGTTTTGTTTTGTTTTTTGAGACAAAGTTTTGCTTTGTAGTCAAGGCTGGCCTTGAACTCACTGTGCAACCCAAGCTGCCTCAAACTCACAGCAAAGTGCTGGGATTACAAGCACAAGACATCACAGCAAAGGACGGATGCACAGTAGCTGCACACAGCCTGGGGTGGTCACAACTGCAAAGGCAAGATCTGCACCTAAATCTAGAAATTCACCCATATGGAGCCCTAGAAGATTATCTGAATGTTCTGGGCTGGCCTAATAACCATATGGGAGGAAAAGTTTACATTGTCTCATGGTTTCAGAGATTTCAGGCCATGGTTACTTGGTTACATGGTTACCCCATTACTCTGAGCTGGTGGCAGCATGGAACACCATTGCATGGCATGTGATGGAGTAAAACTGCTTACCTCCTGGTGACCAAGTGAAGAAGCAGGAAGGGGCTGATCCCAATATCCCCTTCAAGGCCACACCCGCAGTGGTCTAACTTCCTTTTACTAAACCCCGCCTCTTAAAGGTGCAACCACCTCCTAACTGCCGCAGAGTGGGGCCAAGCTTTTATCACATGGGGATTGGGCAGTCATTCCCAAACTGTAATATTTTGTGAACTAACGTGCTCTAAAGCTGTCAGAAAACACATTTTTGTCGCTGTTTCTGAAGCTACCTTGCCTGTAGTACTGTGTTACAGTGACCCTAGCAGACTATACACCAAGCCATTTCAAGTCAGGCGCCCAAGCTAGCCTTCCCAAATGCATCTGCCATGCACTTGCAGTTCCAGTTTTCCCAGATCCCTTGTCATCTTCAGAGAGTACTACATCCTCCAGCCTCCGTGTACAGAGTGTGGCTCCCTCCTGCTTAGATGGCCCTTTCCCACTCTCAAGCCTCAGTTTATGGTCACCTAAACCTCTCCCTACTCTTCCCCTGGCCCCAGCACAGGATTTGTGTTGTTCACAGGCAAACCCCCACCGTGCCTGGCACAGCCTCCCTGACAAATGTGCAGAGGCATCTTCCAAGGCAGCAACTGAGCTGCTTCATTTCTGTCTCTGAACTGAAGTGAACCTGAGGCAGACAGGGGCTCAGAACAAGCTTGGGCACGTCAGAGGTGCAGACTCCTTGCAAGGCCTAAGAAGCCAGCTGTCTGGACCCTCCACGGAAGCTCAATTGCTACCTGTCAAACCACCGCCCCTGAATCAGGAAAAGGAAGCGGACTCCACCTCCACATTCTGGTGTCCATGCTGACTGTAGGCTAAAAACAGAAAACACCTGCTGTCCTGCTGCACCCACACGCAGATGCGTTTCCACCTGCTGAGCTCTGCGTTCAGGTTAAGTTGGTTAAAGCTCAGCCACCTGCTCTCAGATACTGCTGGGAATGTTCCTTCCTGGGTGTTGCTAACTCTGGATTCAGGGGCTCTAACACTTGCCTAGAGGCAGCCTGGGAAACCACAGCAATGGCACAGTAGGACTTATCCTATTCCAGGCCTCCCATTCCAAATACAGGGCGGGTAAATCATACATGCAACAAATGTGTTTTGGTCCCTTATTTTGTACCAGGCATGGAATTCCTAGGCAAATCCTGGAGAAGATAGGATAAAACTAAGTATGAATTGTGCCCCAGAGAAGTTCACAGGTAATCCTGCCAGCAGGAGATGTAACATCCAGGGACAGGCCTGAAGGTCAAAGAGATGGTGTCCTATCTAAAGTCACTTCAGGAAAAGATGCAGTAATAAACCTGAACCATGGTCCCAACTCTTAGTACTAAGATCTTTGCCCTACATGGTAGATTTTTAAAATGGCCATGAAACGTACCCTCCTCTAACCTTACTCCTCGGATGTGCCTTGGCCTTCGCATGCCGCCTCTGGGCTGGCCTCCCACGCTGTCTGACCCAGGTGAACTTGACACAGCATACTGGGAAGGGGCTCGCACACTGCAGTTCACTCTCAACTTGCCCTTTGTGGTTGAGTCTGAAGTGCACCCCAAGGGTGAAAGGCTTGGTCACCAGCCTGTGGTGCCACTGAGAGGCCATGGAACCTTTCAGAAGTGGGGCCTGGCGGGAAGGAAGTGAGGTGGGGGGGGTGGCCTTGAAGGGAATACCAGGTCCTTCTCCCGTCCTGTCTTTGCTTCCAGGTACCCTAAGGAGCAGAGGCCGCCTGTGCCTGTGCTCTGGCTATGGTACAGTAAGGCTGCACCGAGCAACCATTAACTGGAATCACCAGAAGCTAAGTGGGGCGGGGAGGCAGATTTTAGACAACAGGTACTGAAGCACAGGTAGGAAGAAAAAGTTTCAGTGTCCACAGTACAGCGGGGTGACTACAGTTCACAGACATTTATTACATATTTTTAAAGAACTGTGAGAAGAGTCTGAAGAAATGATCAATATTGAAGGAGATGAAAGCGTTACTCCTCTGATTTGATCATTACATGCTGTATACATACATCAAATTATTATGATGTATGATTCACATACATAATCCCAGCACTCAGCAGGCTGAGGTAGGAGGCCCCCAAGTTTCAGGCTAGCCTAAGTTACACAGCAAGTTTCAGCAGATCTGGATTACAGAGTAAGACTCTATTTCAAAATTAGTTAATTTAATTTAAAAAGTTACCACACAAAAAAAGTTATTACAGTATACTGTCACTGAAGTTTCACTTAAAAGCAAAGTGCTTAATTATTCTATGTGCTGTCTCGAAGGGAATTTCACCACCAAGTCATCCCTCCTGGCCTTTCTGTGCACAGCAACAACAACAAAATCCTGCATCTCCTAAAGTTTACTATGGAGGGGGAAATCTCGCCAAAATAAAGCTTAGTCTTATTAACTGTTAGGACAAAACTCCACGTGACCTGAAGGTGGGAGAAACCTTGGCCCTGGTAGAATCTGCTGTCACCTAGGACTCAGGTGACTGTTTGCCACCAAGGCAGAGGGAAGTAGGGGGTGATGGTGGACCACCCACAAGCCCACCAGCTGGCAGTGGAGATGGCTAAGGAGGACCCTTCGCTGCCTTGACCATGTGCCCAGCGTGCCTCAATGCTCCCAGGGAACCCACAGAACCCCTTTGTGGGTGAAATGCCAGGATTCTTCAAGCACAGGCTGGTCAAGAACCTTCCTATGATTCCACGCCTCACCAATGGTGACCAGGGAGCCTTGTAGGGGTCTAGCTCTGGTTATCCCCATTGCTTTCTGCTCCTGACTGGCTTTTTGATCAACACTGCAATTTCTTGTCTCCTTCCATCTTTCTTCCCATTCTCATACCTCCTTACCGCCTCTGTACTTGGTAAAGGCTGCTTACCCCTTCTCAGACTCCCTTCTCCCTAGAGGCCTCCTGGACCCCCACTTCTTCCTGAAACACGGCCCTCTTCCCACATTCCTGGCCCCTGACATCAAGCCTCCCTGCTCCTACTGCCCTGCCTCTGTGGGCGTCACCAAAGTGACTGCACGCCTCCTCCCACTGGCAACAGAACCACCCACATAGAGACAGCAAATGGCTTTGAGGGGAGGAAGGAGCTGGGGACTTCAGACCTCTGCC